GGGACATTCAGCCAGGAATCAGGAAACCAGGGTTATAGCCTGTTCTGTCTCCAAATGCCTCTGAGACAATGGCACTATGATTCTGCATCAAACACGCGATCCTAAAGCAGATTACTAACATACCTGCTACCCTAAGCTTGTATTTTATTACTAAAACAAAAACTTACAAAAGGGAGGTCACCCGACAAGAGATTTGATTCTCAGTCTAATGAGAAAACATTCCTATAACAATAAACATGTGAATTACAAAAAGTTCTGTCCCTACTGTCAGCACTCAGCTGTTAAGTACACTCACAGTGACCTTGTGTGGCGGAGAACTGCCTCAAAGTGTTTCGTTAGGCTGTGCTATTTACGGGAGTAGATCGCCAGGTCTTTCTCCTGTGGAGTTGCTGGGTGGGTTCGAACTGCCATCCTTTTGGTAAGCAGCCCAGCACTTACCTGTTGAGCTACCAGGGCTGCTTGTCAGCACTCTAAAGGCAGATATTCTCACAGCAGGACTAAGAACTTCCCATAATGACCTTTCCTTAAGGTGGACAGCATTCACAAGGAAGATGTAACACAGTTTAGATAACAACAATACACAGAACAGAGGAAACAGCAGTTTGCTGTATCTATTTTTAAATCTACTTTATTTCTAAACTGTCTTTTCCCAAACAAGTACTTTTCAATGGAATATAAAATAGGGCTTTACATACAAGGACACCCCTATCCTGAAGAGATCCAAAACAAAACAAAAAACTATACAAATGTTGAACACTTAATAAGTCTACCAAAAGTAACTCCGAATGCACTCCTGTAAGAGCTGAGCAATATACACAAAAGGCAAATCAGCAAGGCAAGGTTTTCTGAAAGGCTGTGATGACTAATATTTCAGGACTGGAACGTGATAGTTATTAAAAGAAACACGAGAGGCATTCTCCCAATTCCTAATAGGCCCATGTCCCCACTGCAACGACTAACACAAACACCACTCAGGGCTGAGCTCACACAGTCTCTCTGACCTAAATCATCTTCTGCAATTTCCCCCCATGTGGCCCATTATGTGAATCCAAGAAACTAACTGGTAACCCATTTGTTGAAGGTCAGATGTAGGGTACACTTAGGCCCATGCAGCAAATGGATAAAAAGGGGAAGCAAACAGAAATCCAAGACAAATTTCTGTTGAAATCCATGTCCCAGAACCCAGCAAACTCTCACTGGACGGCAAAGAGTGGGCGCAGCAGTGGTTCAGTGGTAGAACCCCCCCCTTCCACGCAGAGACCTGGGTTCAACTCCTGGCCAATGCACCTCAAGTGCAGCCACCACCCGTCTGTCTGCCGGTAGCGGCTCGGTGTGGCTATGATGCAGAACAGGTTTCAGTGGCGCTTCCAAACCGAGACTGACTAGGAAGAAAGGCCTGGTGATCTACTTTCAAAAGTCAGCCAATGAAAACGCCGTGAATCACAGTGATCCAACCCTACTGGGTCACCATGAGCCAGGGGCCGACTCAACAAGGACAACAACACAGAAAAGAGCAGAACTCGTAACGCTATCTCAGGACATACACCAAACACTTTCCTCCACATTAAAAAATGCTCACTTAGTATCTGAATTGCTACCTTTATACACAACCCCAATACTAACCAAGGTTTTTCAAGTGCTTAAGTCATAAACAGGACTTCCACGCAAAGGCTAATGAGGTCATCTGGGAAAAATCAGCAGGAGGTCTTACCACGGTCGATATTTAACAATCGATAGCATTTCTTAACAAGTTAAAAGTGCAAAGATTTCAGTCTTCAAATTCAAATGTTTTGTAGCATATCTCAACTAATTACAAGAGATAAAAGACTGGACCTACAATTTCCTATTTGTGCAAGTACAATTTAGAGATTATTTCTTAAGCATTTAGTCCTAGTTCTTTTTGTTGTCCTCAAAGCACAATGTTCCTATTGGAAAGAATACAAATAAAGATTTCAGATGGCAATTTGCATATCTATCAAAATTAAAATGTTCACATAGTCTTTTGATCCACCAATTTCATCTTGAGAAATCTATCCTACGGAATTAATAACACAAATACAAAAATGTCCACTGCAGCATTTTTGTAAGGGTGAAAAATTACAGTGCTGGTTAATATATAGGAGCCCATACAAAAGAATGAGCTGGACTCATAATTACTGACGTCTAAAGAACTCCAAGACGTCTTGTTCAGTAAAAACACACGTAGTAGAACCACATGTAGAGTATAAATGAATTTATGTAAAGAAAAGCGTGTGTATGTGTGTGT